GCCGCGTGCTGGCTGAGCCCGGTTGGAAGATGGAGCTGCAGACTCGCTCCCAGGTGAGGGTCCGGCTGCAGCCGGGACGCGCTTTCTCCACGCCCTGCCGGACCCAGCCTCGGGTTGAGAACGTGGCCTTGGCGCTCACTTCAGAGCGCCCGGTCCTGCAGGTGTGCGCGTGGGTCCCGGCGGTGCCACCCGAGGTCCCGAGGCCCGGCCTGGGACCCTGATGGGGGACGCGTTTGCAAGAGGTGCGGGTCGGGAGCCGGGGGGCGCAGAGCTCCGGAACCAGAGAAAAGCACGGGGGAGGGCAGAGGCCACCCAACTTTCCCCACACCAATTGGCACAGAGATCAGGAAGTTTAAGAAAAGTGCAGGTTTTCTTAAAAAAAAAAAAAAAAAAAGTGGAGACACAGACCAGGCCAATCTGAGCAATGGAGTTTAAAAGGAGTTGTTAATTTGGGGTTTGTTCTAGAACTTTCATAAATGTTTTCAAGAAATTTGTTTCCACTTAGGACAAATGTGGGCAACTTTGTTTTGCGTTACAGGCCCAACCAGGTCTTAAAACTCACTGGCACTTGAGAACAAGTTTCCCAAACGTAGGATTGTGAACGTGATTTCTGTTGGTGTAGTTTCAGAGTTTTTCTCTACTTTGAGATGAGCTCTAGTAAAAACAACTAAGCGATCACACACATTTTTATATAGAAGTAAGCACTGAAAACATTTTTTTAGAAGTAATTAAAAATAACGCTACAAAGGCATGGTAAACGCTTATCCCTTTGTGAGTGGTGCCCAGGTGTTTGAGGTGAAGGTTGAGATTCTTGGTCCCCCTCTTCTTTTACCCTCCCACCGGGGTTCCGAGCCAAACTCCACCTGCCCAGGCTTCTGTCACCTACCTGAGTGGTGGCCAATGAAGAGCTGGTCACCAATGGCCTCTTTGTGTATTTAGTCATTGCTGAATGCCTTTCTTAAGATTGACACTTGTGAGAATATTTTTAAAAATTTTCCAAGTGAAGGGAGATAGTAAAAACATGGGAAACAGTCTGGACCCAAGTTCAGACTTACATTTTGTTTTGTTTTGTTTGTGACCATGGGCCTTTGCATGTAGTATCCTATGCTTCTAAGACTTTTCAGTCTCCAGGACTTAACAAACCACCACCTTTGGATTTTTATTTTTATTTTTTTAAGACTTGAGTTTCATTCATCCCAGGGTGGTCTGGAACTTTTGTGTAGGAGAGGATGACCTTGACTTTCTGATCATCCTGCCTCTGCCTCCTGAGTGCTGGGATTCTGAGCATGCGCCACACCTAGCTTCTGAGGTGCTGAGGCTGGAACCCTGGGCTTTGTCCATGTTAGGCAAGCACTCTTCTGCCATCGAGCTGCCTTGTGGAAAGGGATTTGACCTGGTGAATTTCCTCACATCTTCTGTCACTTCTGAAACCTGTTGTACTTAAAAGTTCTTTGCAACTTTGATCTTTGTATTCATGGTCTTTGGAAGTTCAGGATGTCCCAGACTGGAGCTGGAAGTGAGTGAACATTTTATCCTCAAGTAGTGAGGCTTATTTTTGGCAGTTCTAAAATATTAAACTGTTTACTGTGTGGGGGTGATCCACAAATTATATCTAACCCATTATGCACCAATTAGAGCAAATTAATATATATAAGATGATTTTTTTTTCCTGCTGGAAATGTTCCCCTTTTTCAGTTCATCATAACTTAAATGTGAGCAGATTGCAGTCTTTTAATTTAAATTAGCTGAGAATGGTTCTGTGGGGTGGGCAGGTGAGTGCTGGTAAGAGTACTTATAGTAACCTTTTCAGGCACAGCAGGATGTTAAATTCATGTACTTCACACAGTCCCGGGCCTTATGAATAAAGGTGTGTGAGCACTAGTGACTGTACACCCACAGTGGTTGGGTCCAGCGGGCAGTGAGCTTTAATCTCTTGCACGCCGTAAATATAATTTCCAGCCTTTGATGATGTAGCAGTTTCTCCAAGGTATTCCAGCAAAGCAAACAGCTTGGGAATTTTGTGAGCAGTACATGAACGAGGGGAACTACCTTCATGCATTCTGAACTACAAGTCTCTCCTTTTCTGTCTGCCACCCAGTGTGTTGGATTTGATGTCCTTTGACAGTGATCACGTCCCTTGGAGACCTCCGGTCTCTGTTGGATTGACCACTGTGTCTTTTACTTATATCAATATACTTGAGTTCTTCAATGGTGTCAGTACACTTAATACCCTGTCAGGGTAGGGGTGTGGTCCCTCACTAAGGTCTTAATAAGACCTAGGGCCTTAGCTTCCTAGCAGACAAACTGGCGGGCCTGAATGTCACTGTCCTCGTCCTAGTTCGGGATTGCAGGTTGGACCCTTTGAGAAGAACATGATAGTTAATGTTCTCGTGACTGTGCATGTTGCATGCTGTTGGAGGGGTGAGGGGAAAGGTTTTAGGTGTTGATATAATCATGTGGCTTAAGCTGGTCACAGAGGGCTCGATTGCGATTTCTGGAAGGACAGTGATTTGTCACTTCAACAGTCATATATTTGAAAGGCTCATTTCTGACCCTCCATCCATGGCGGGCTGAATTCTCAGAGGTCACAGCAATTTTGATCTGATCGAGTATGTGGGGCAGAAACCATGAGCTAATTTGAGTTCAACCAGTTTACTAATGCTTGAGAGTACTGAGAAATATAGTGGAGCATTTGAGCTGGACAACCCTAGCATACTGATTTTAAATGGTCATTGACAGCTCTCCTTCACTCTTTAATATGCCATAGATCTTTGCCTCCACTGTCTAGATTTATTTTATAAAAAGGCTTCTAAGTTGGGGTGGGGATAGAGATAGGAAAATATTAGTGGGACCTTTTTTTCTTTATAAAGAGCAATGGTCAGTGAATATTTTGAAAAAGGATCAGGCAGAGGCATACTTAGTGAATGTATCTCTGAGGTTAACACTCAAGAGTTTATCTTCCGTGGCAGTAAATGCTAGCACCCCGCGTGCAAACCCAAAAACGTTATGAAGTCTCACTGTACAGGGGCCTGAGTTTGGGCTCAAATGAATAGTTGATGCATTCTGCCCGTTTTTTTCTTCATAATTGTCAGGGGACTTACTAACTGGTTAGCTTACTTGTCCACGTTTATTGAACATATACTTTGTTCCAGGCATTGTTAGTTGTAGTAGAAGAACGAAAACCACAACACTGTTCTTCCCTCTGTCTGCTTGCCAGAGCCCCAGGCTGTTCTCCCTCTGTGCAGTGGGATCCTCAGATAGCCTCAGGTTTTGGGAGTGTAGGCAGGGACATTCAGAACCATCCTTTTCTTGTAAGAAAAGGAAATGGTCACTTCCGTTTGTAAGTCAGGCTTAAAGTTGGGATTTAATTCTTCCTGCACTATTGTAAAATGCATTGTGTGATCTACTTTCTAAAGATAAGACTAAATTGACTGCTTTCCCCAGGGGCAACTGACAGGATTTTTCCCTTGGCTAGAATTCTGTCTCCAGAGCCTCTGTCTGACTCTGGCCTTTGGCATCACAGCACCTGGCCAGGCCTTGGAACTCCCACTGAAGTGAGGAGGCTACAAATTTTTGTGTAAGTGATGATGTCACCAGGTAATCAAGGACATTGGATGTGACAATATACCACATGAATTGAGGGGCTGTCATGATTTCCCTCTCCTTTAACCAGAGCAGCAGGGTATGAGCACCTAGTCTGGTCCTTTTCCAGGGTCTCACCAGATTAAACTCTACAAAAGTCAGCTTGGGTATGTAAGATGCACACAGCTTTAACATGGGAACAATTTTACATGGGCTTATAGGGTATAAGTAATGTATTAATAGAGGTGACATGGGAATACTGCTCTACCTCCTGTGCTCCCTCAGCCTCATATTCTGGAGATTTCCACCTAGTGGTGTTGGCCTGTAGCACAAGCATCACTTCTTGCATAGCTGTAGTAGTTTAATTGGTCTTTTAACTTTTTTCTGGGTGGCTGGGGGCCTTTATAGTTTCATATCGAATATCTTTGTAGTGTTACACTGACTACATGTGTATTTTATATCTTTTCCGTTGACAAAATTTTTTGTTAAAGGAGCTTTGTAATTATGTTCCAGAGAGGGAGCAGTGCATGGCTTATGGCCTGTGTTGGTGTTGCATTGAAATATTGTAGTAAATTTAGTATCTCAGAGGGATGGGACTGATTTGGTGGAACCTGCAACACCTGGCTTTCCTGAGGCTGGCGCTTCTCTTGTTGTCCTGTTGGCTAAGGAAAGCTGTTTGTTTTTTGTCTTTTTTTTTGTTTTTTGTATGTTTTTGCTGAGGTGGGTCATGAAAGCTATTTGCTGCAGTCACTGCTGCCTCCAGAATTTAGAGCTTCTAGTAGTATGTTTAGCCTGGGGGAAAGTGGTGAGTTGTCCTCAAGGGTCTGTCCTTTACTGCCCTCTGGTCTGCATGGAAGACCCAACCTGTGCCCAGGACCACAGTGTAGTGCCATGTGGGTCTAGTGGGGAAATTGGTGCGATCTGGGCCTAGTGTTGCCTAGTTCAGCAACAGTCTTCTCAAGGTAGCTTTCCTAAAATTATATTTTCATTGAAGTTGGATATCTAGAAGTTAAACAACAGGTTCACTTGTTACAAGGTGGTTTCTAAGAGGGAAAAAAATCAAAAGTATTGATGGTGCATATGCTGGTTGTAATCTGTTATACTCCAGGCTGTGTTTAACAATGTATGCACTTTTCCCCTTGTGGGGTTGCTTCAATAAACCTTAAGAAATAATAGTACATGGAATCCCCAAGGCCTGTGATGTGATCAGCCAGGGCTGCCAGGTATGCAGGCCGCAGTTCCTGGTGTTACATGCTCTCAATTTCTGGGACATCCCTGCCTCTGTTTCCCCAGAACCCCAAAGAAACAGCACAATTGTGTGGAGAGCCCTCCAACTTGAAGCCTTCCCTCCTCTAGAGGTTCCTGAATAGCCTGAAGAGCACGTTGCATATCTGGGTCCTTTAACCTAAATCCTGAGCCAGCCCTGTTCCTGCTGGATATCTTCCATCTCTGTGATGAGGGCCCCAAGATTTTCCCTAGGCAAGTGATTGGTGAGTTCAAATCATGTGGCAGGTCAAACAATAGTTATCCAGCTCATGGATAGAGGACCTGGCATATTGCCCTTAATTGTTAAATTGCAATAAGCTGATTTAGGGCTGTCTGAGTAGAGTGAGTGGACATGTGAGTTGTGACGGACTGGGACATCGTGGGACATTCTCGAACAGCTCTTGGCTTTTTCTGTTGAACTGATGTGGAGCCAATTTATGCCTTCCCCAGAGGCCTCCAGTAGCAGCCCCCATGCTGGAATTTCCTAATAAATCTCCAGGTTTAACTTTCAAAAGTGGTTCTATCCCATTTCCCTTCCCCTCCAATATCTTTTTATTGGAAAATTCTCACCTCCCCATGCAATAAATAAAGAAGAAATCAAACTTTCCTTGATGTTGAATTCCCTAAGAATATTTTTAATGACAAAAATTTTAATATTTTTATTTTGCATGTATGAGTGTATTGTTTGCATGTATGTAAGTACACCCGTTTTGTGCCATGCCCACAGAAGTCTCCAGAAGAGGGTTCGGATCCCCTGGAACTGGAGTTAGAGACAGATGTTAGCTGCCATGTGGATGCTGGGCGCTGGGAACGGAACCTGAGTCCTCAAAATGTCTGGTGTCCTTGTTTTGGTTTTAAAAGAAGAGTTGTTAAGAAAGTTAGGGATGAGTGCAATACTATTGTTTATTCCTCTCCTCTCAGATTCCCAGCAAGTGACTCCAGGTATTATTCCTTTCAGGAAGTTTTTTCTCAAGGTAGTTAATGTCCTAGGGCCCCATTTAGACTTTGGCCCACTTGTACAAGAGATCTTCTGTTCCTCCCATTACCTGATGGCACAAACAGTTGCTGCTTCCCCTACACTACCAGCTGCAGGCACTCAGCAAGAGACTTGACTGTGTCCTTACAACCTTCCTTGAACTAAGCGATTGTAATTAGGACTTTAGTGAGTGTGCCATTCATTTGGGCACAATGCCAGGAGCCAAGTGGTGTCAGCTGCTTGCATGGGTCCTCCGGAGGTGATTGGGTTCATTTTCCATGGTGACAGCGCTCTTAGCCAGGCAGAAGTATGTTAAGAGGGTCCTCTGGAAAGAGGCTTCTTCCATCCCCTGCAGTTTGAAGAGCTGGTTCACATTGCTCACTTGGAGTGAGCACAGGACATTCTCCTCCTTTCAGTGACCAGAATCTCTGGAGTCCTGTGTACACCTGAGCCTTCTCAGACCATCTCCACCTGGCATCTGTGTAGACACCTGTGCATATGGGCGCTAGATCACTGCCTCTAGCAGGCTTCCTGACCAGGCTCCAGCCACTGGATGACATGCCCCTATGGGGACTTCTAGACTTAATTCCTATTTATCAGACCACATTGACATTCTAGAGATGGTCTCTCACCCTGCCACTGTTTATATGAGGTCTCATCTCAGTGTGGCACCCAGTAGACAGTAGGTGCTTAATAAGTATGTGCTGAATGGATGGTAGGGCAAAGTAGGGCTGGGACCATTTTACTCTTAATAACTAACATTTATACAATGCCTTCTGCTTCCAGAATGCCTTCCAAGGTCAGTGTGGATGTTGCTAGCACTCAATCCTAGTGTTCTGGTCATTTTCCTTGTGGGTAAAGGACAAAATTGCACTTTGCTGGCTCCTTAAAACAGGCAAAGGCCATTTAACTTGCATCAGCCTGCGAACTATTAGCAGAAGCACTGCGTGTTCATCTAGGGGACTCTTTACATCCCAGCACATAATTACCAATCGCATCCCCTCTGTTGCTGCACCTGCCAGCATTCCAGATGTGTCAGCATTTCTGACTGGGGTCTGGTGTGTGGAAGGCCTAGAGCAGAGTCTCTTGACTGAGCAATGATGAATATGTAGTTCAAACGTGAAACTATTTTTGTTGTAAGCCACTGACTGAGGTTTGGGGTTGTTTGATGTTCTGACATGCCCTTTAGTGGACAGGTGGACCACGGTGCTCATATTTCAGTTTTGGACTTGATATATGGTTGTCATCCGAATGATCTGGGGTCAGGATGGAGTGGTGGTGGCACTATGTGGGTTTCACTTTTGAGTTGGAGTGATGGCAGTGAGGCAGTTGTTCCTGTTACTGAGGGGTTTGCAGTTCGGGGTTGTTAAGTCCCAATTGGCCTGCAGAAGTGTCCCCAGGAACAAGTCATTTGCTCTGTCTGAATGCCAGTAGCACCTTGTCCAGGTGGGTAATCCATCTGTTAGTGTCTAGGGAAGCGCTGACATTGCCATCACATTTCCTGTCTGTCGCACTGCCTGGTATAGAAGTAAGCCAGTCGTTTCCAAGTGATTGTGTAACCTGTTTCCCAGGCACTCTGCCAGAATTTCAGGTCTGCTACCAACTAGCCCTTCTAACCTGTACAGAACACCTGTCTGATTCTCCCCCATATAACTTCCTCTTTAAAAATCTGACACTAATTGTTGAGGGAGATACTTTATTATTATGGCTAGATATATAGACTAAAATGAGCTATTTCAACTTTTTAAAGTATTTTCATTTTATGTGTATGAGTATATTGCCTGCAGATAGGTAGGTGCATCTGTGTCGCGCAATGCCCACAAAGGTTAGAAGAGGGCATTGGATCCCCTGAAACTGGAACCGCAGGTGGTTGTTCATTACCATGTGGGTGCTGGGAATTGAACCCAGGTCCTTGCAAGATCAGCCAGTGCTCTTAGCCATCGAGCCATCTCCCCAGCCCCCCATTTTAAACTTTTGTATTAGCTTGGTTTTTGAAACAGGTAGCATGTACTGGCCTGGAACTCACTATGTAGTTGAGGCTGGCTTTGAATGCTCAGTGTCTTAGTCTCAAGTACTGGGGATTACAGGTATGTACCAGTGACCTGGCTATGTTAACCTTAAAAAATTAATTTGTGTGTGTGTAGATGTGGAGTCGAGGTCGATATCAGGTGCCTTCCTCATTCTTCATCTTTTTTTTTTTTTTTTTTTTGAGACTAGGTCTCCTTGTAGCTCCAGCTGACCTAGAGTTCACTGTGTAGACCAGGCTGGCCTTAATCTCTCACAGATCTGCCTGCTTCTGCCTCCTGAGTGCTGGGATTAAAGGTGTTGAGACCTGAAGCTCACTGATTCAGCTAGACCGTCTGGCCAGTGAGTCCCCAGGGCTGTCCTGTCTTTGCCTCTTAGCACTGGAATTAAATGTGTGCACTGCCTCTCCTGGTTTCTTACATGGATGCAGTGGACCTGAACCCAGGTCCATATGAGTTCCACATGCTTGCAAGGCAAGTGCTTTGCTGACTGAGTCATCTCCCTGCCCCCCCCAACCATTTTAAACACATAGTTAAGTACACTGCCATTGTTGGACAGCTGTCACCACTCTCTAGTGAACTGTTTCAGCATTCTAAACCCAGACTGTCCCTATTGAACAAGACTTCTCACTGCTCCCTCCCCCACCCCCTGGTAGCTTCTATCTTAATTTCTGTCTGAGAATTTGACTATCCTAGGTACCTCATGCAGTTGGAATGATTCAGTGTCTTCCTTTTGTGGCTGGCTCCTTTCACTCAGCATAATGTCTACAAGGTTCATCCACATGGTAGCATGTGCCAGAATTTCATTCCTTTTGAAGGTTGAATAATACTCCCTTATAGGTACATACCACTTAAAAAAATTCATCCATTAATGGACATTTTGGTTGTTTCTATCTTTTGGCTATTGTGAAAAATACTTTGAAATGGAAAGGATAACACTGACATACAGATATCTTGATCCAGTGCAGCTCTCATTTAAAATGAAAATTAAGTTTAATAACCCATGAACCCCAATTGTGTTGTCCATATACTTTGGGGTTTGGTGCCAATTACTGGAGCAGGGTCAACTGAATGGGAGCCACACCATTAAAGACTGACTCTCTCCCAGAAGCTATCAACTATCTACAGCTCC